TATATATATATATATATATATATATATATATATATATATATATATATATGTATATATGAAAAATATATCAAAAATGCATGTGGCTACTCAAATGAAAGCTCTTGATGAGTGTAAGATCAAGATGCGCTTATATCATTCAAAACGTCAATAGTTAAAAAAATACAGTGCAATTTAACAAAAATCATTATTCAATAACGCAAAATTTTATTCATTTACAATTCACAAATTGCAGTCACGTAGTGACTGCAAAGTTACTAGTATTTATTTATCTAACAAACATCTCCAAAATTAAGTAAATATATCTATTAACACTCGTCACTAAAATCTAAAATAATCCTTCTAATCAACAGTAACCTACCCAGCCAACCAACCGTACCAAGATCCCTACTCCTTCAACGCAGTGCAGTTCCCACTGGCCCCCATGGCTTCCCCGCAAAATTACGCATACCCCAATCAAGCCGCAATGAACCCAATGGTCCCCAACATCGGTCCAATCTACAACTCATCTCCACCTCAAGGCCAAGGCTTCGACCCCCGTTCCTACATCCCAACCCAGCCGTCTCCAATCTTCATCCTGCCCAGCAACCCCGTAGTCCAACTGCCCACCCAAAATCCCCCAAACTGCCCCAACACTCGTTCAGGAGTCTGCGGCTCTCAATACTGCTGTTCCCCAGCCGCTCCTCCTCCTCCTTACATTCCCTTCCCCTGTCCTCTTCCCTACCCCGCGCCATTTTGTCGGCCTTCAAACTGCTACGACCCAAATTCAAGTCCCTTCTGCAAGGAGTCTTCATTTTCAACCTGCTCCTGCTGCCCAAAGAGAAATGACTTACCCTGCGAGCATCGTTGCGAGCCAACCAGCGAGGCTATCTGCAACAAACCAAATTGTCCTGCTTCAATCAGCCTCCAAGCTCTAGCCTCCCAATTGCTGTCCATTCCAGGGGTAATTTCCTGCGCTGCCACGCGGCTTATTCTCAGAAGAGTTCCGGGGTCTAATATCAGAAATTCTACAGAAGAAACTGTCGAACGCGCCCGAAAAACTATTAATACTCTAACTCAGGAGCAGCTTTTGACAGAAACTCGAAATGCGCAGCAGATAAACGCCCTAATAAACCTCCACATGGCAGCTAATCCTCCAGCAAACATTATTCCCTTGCTAACTACTGTGCAATTGAAGGTCAACGTCCTTAAAAGTCTCCTGGAGACAATTATTAATCACAGAATTACCGAAAATCAAGCAGCGGGGGCAGAAACCTGCCTTGGATTAGATCCCATAATTTTGGGGCTCAAATCTGACCAAGAATTGCGGACTATCTTGGCGACTTTAAGGCAAAAGGAATGCGACCAAAGGGTTAATTACAATTTTGCTACCTATCATTCGCAACGGGTGATTGCAGAAACTAGGTTAAAGAATATTGAGGACAAAATTGCGCTAGTAGAAGCTGAAATTGAAAGGCGCAGGTGCGCTTGCCTGCCTCCGACCTTGAGACAAACTGGAATGACCTGCCAAGATTCTAGAGGAACAGTTTGGCACGCCTATCCGGGCACACTGGCGCCATCTAGCTTCGGGAATTTTAACTACAGTGGAAGGCAGCCATCTCAAGACTCGCCGGATCCATTTTGTTTTGACAAGAAGATTCCCAGGAGGCTCAATGTTCCTCATGTTGGGAGCCCGGAGACTACTTATAGGAAGCCGCCGACTATGGTTAAGGATAAAGAGGATAAGCGGTTTAGTGATGATGATTGCGGCTGCGATAAATCTACTTCTTATGATAAAAATGAGGGTAAAAATGCGGGGAGTAGTAATGATTGTGAGGATGAGGAGGAGGAGGATGATGATGAAGAGGATGGTCAGTGCACCTGTGATAAATTGACCGATGACGAGGACAAAAAAAAACTCCGAATAAATCTAAGCGGAGCAGGTCCAAGCGGAGGGACAGAAATTAAGGGGAAAAATGTCGGCTTTGAGGTGAAAGAGAATGAGGGGGTGGAGGGGCAAGAAGAGGGGGTTGGTGGTGAAAAGGTAAATTTGATTGATGAAACGGAAGATAATTGCGGAAAAATTGAGGAAACTTTGGACTCCAGCGCTCAACTGAAGACTAGTAGTAGTTGTAGTAATAATAAAAGTAATGATAAAATAAAAATAGCAAGACAAGAACTTCAAGATAAATTACTTCTTCAATTGAGCTCAGCTGTCGGGTCTTGCGATCCATCAAACAAAAATAATCGTAAGATTTTTATTTATATAAATTATTGTATGGTTTTTTTTATTTGTAAATATAATAATGAATGTAAGAATGAAATTAGGTATTTTATTTTTATTTTATTATAAGGAGAACGGGACACAATGGGAGTGGATTTTATGAGGTTTATTTTTCTTTAATAACCTCAGATGATTGGAATTCTTGACAACTTGCGCAGTAGAAAATTTTTTATAATTTCTTTAAGAAAATTTTATTTTTATAATAATTTTTTATCGTTTTAATTTTATATAAAACATATTCAAAATTTTTTTCTATTTTTAGGAAGATTTCTTTAAAAATCTGTCTATTGCAGAGGTACTCATGTCGGAAATTTATTTTGTTGAGTTATAGCAAAAAATATCAGGTCAAAAGTTTACACATGCACTGAAAAAAAAAAATTCTTTACTCGAGTGTATATTTTCTTAGCTCAAGAAAATAATAAAGAAGATTGAAAATGTCAAAGTTTCTTGATCCAAGAAAATTTTTTCTTGGCGCAAGAAATTTGTTTTAATGTGTGATAAAACCGGTCGCAATTTTTGACTGATATCAAGGAAACTCAAATTAGCTTTAATTTAACTTTTTATTTTAATAATTTCTTTTATTTTTTCTATAACTTTTAGAATCTGAAAAAATATCAAAAATAATTTTTTTTTGTGGAATAGTCTTTAAATAACTTTGACATATTTATTTTATTGTACCGCAATTATATAAGGTGCGTGTTATAACTCGTAAAATAAGCTACAATTTTTACTATTTAATCTATAATTTTCCTCTAAGGTAAAAGACCCAGTTATTGACACTTGCAATTTTATTTTAATTAAATAAAACAAACGGACTCTAACAAATTAATAAATAAAATTTTTGAATTACAAATTTTAAGATAATTTGTTTTTTGAAAACATTTTATATTTTTAATTAGAATAAAATTGCAAATGTCAATAATTGGGTCTTTTACTTTAGTTTGTAAATATTATCAAAGTTCTAAAGGTACTATCAAAAATTTAAACTAATACTGTGTTCTGAAATGAATAAATTTAGATTTTTCATATCGAGTATGGCCAAATGATAATTTTTTTAATTAAATGTGTAAAAGTATGTGCAAAAAATCGTACCCCGTTGTGATGAAAATGAAGTTAGCTGACATTTCAAAATTTTTAGAAATTTTTTTATCCAAAAAATTTCAATTAAACAATTAAAAAAAAATATCACATGTTAAAAACTTGAAAAACTATAAGTGCAATTTTTTAAAAAGTCTTTTTAGTTGTAATTTAATTAAAAAAAAAAAAAAATCAAAAATTTTTAGACGTCTGGTAACTTCAGTGTCATCCCCGTTGTGTCCTGCTAATTAGTCTCCCAAAAAAGTAATTGTTTATTTAAGAAAGAAGAAAAATTACTTTGTAGATGAGAAAAAGGAAGAATTAACCTTGACAAGTGATGGAAGTAAATACTCGAACCCTTTTTCCGAAGATCCATCAGAGAGCGGCTTTGAGAATGAAGGAATGGGTCTAGATAAATTTATATCCGGAACACTTTCGGTTATCAGTGGGTTCAGTAATCACGTGGCGTCATTTGGTACAATTATTGGTGATAAAATAACCGCTTTAAGATCGCATCTGGCGCCTGAAATTTCTCATCCATTATTCCCGAGGTTTTCCGCAAATTCCCCAAGCACTTGCTCTAATAATCATCATAATTATGATACTCCTCATTATTCGGGATGTAAAAACTCAAATACACTCGCTCAGATAAATAATAACAACTACGACAATAATTGTCTCGATAAATTTTCTCGTACAAATTGTCTCTTCGGCAAATTAAAAACGAGTAAAATAAGAAGATTAAATTTTGATGGACGCAAAAACCGAGGCGGAGAATTTTTTATTGAATTTAATTCAAATGAAAAATTATCGGGGGTAAAAAATATAATTACCCAGGACAAAACGAACGAAAAAACTTATATTTTAATGAGACCGAAATTGAATACTTACAATAATAATAATAATAATAATAATAATAATAATAATAATTATTATTATTATTATTATAAATTGTGGAAAAAGTTATACAAAGAAGAGAAAACTCTATTGATAAAAAGTAGATTGAAAAATTCTCAATCAACAATTCAATTGACACCATTTATTCCTTTTACGGTTGTTAAGCCGCCGGAATGTCGGGATGAAAATACACCGACGCTTGAAATAAGGGAAAAATTAGTAACGAAGAAAGTTAAATTACCGAATGTTGGTTGTGATAACAATCAATTGAAAACCAGCCGAAAGTTTAGGTCTTTGTCTCGAGTTGAAAAATCGAGAGAGATAATTAAAGTCTTTGGGAATGAAAATAGGGATGAAAATCAAATCAACATTAATTATGAAAATGAAGTAACTTTTCCGGAAAATTCAAGATCGTTCGGTAGCGAGAGTTGGAAAAGTTCTGAGAGTTGTTGGAGCTCTGAAAGTACCGCTACTGGAAATTCAGTTGACGAAATTAAACTTTTTAAATTTGAATCGGTTGAAAATCAAATGGAAGTTTCTTCGGAGTCGATTGTTGGTGTTCACGATTATGGATTATAAAATTTATAATTTGGTATTATTTAAATTGTAGACTATTTGATAGAAAAATATTAATATTAAATTTTTTTTTTGATAAAATTGTAATGGTAGTAAAAATTATTAAACATTTTATTTTTTCTTCTACATTTTTTGTTTTTAGAAAAAAATTATTCATTTTTAAAAATGCATACGGCTGATTCTTTCAAAAACACAGCTGACATTTCTTAGATTAAAATTAAAATGTAAAAATTAGAAATGACCTTGTATCTTGAGAACTATTGACATTTTTAAAGATATAAGCTCATCCCGATGTTACACTCGTCGAGACCTTTCATTTGAGTACCCACATCAATTTTTCATATATTTTATATATTTATATATTTCCCAAATACCATATATATGAAAAATATATAAAAAATGCATGTGGGTACTCAAATGAAAGGTCTCGATGAGTGTAACATCGGAATGAGCTTATTTATCTTTAAAAATGTCAATAATTAAGAAATGACCCTGTATTTTGTGAACTATTGACATTTTTAAAGATATAAGCTCATCCTGACATTACACTCATCGAGACCTTTCATTTGAGTACCCACATCAATTTTTCACATATTTATATATATATTACATATATATAATATATGAAAAATATATTAAAAATGCATGTGGGTACTCAAATGAAAGGTCTTGATGAGTGTAACATCAAGATGAGCTTATATCTTTAAAAACGTCAATATTTAAGAAAGTACAGTGCAATTTAACATAAGTCATTATTTAATAAAGCAAGGTTGCTACTTATATCTATTTTAACATAAAGAAAAAAAACCCAATAAGTTTCTCATTTTCTTTAATTATATATTTGGGTAATTTCATTTTGAATATATATTAAATTTCTTACAAGCTAGTGGATTGGTTACAATTCAAACAGAGAAAAAAAAAGGCTCGTGCTTTATTCTATTTGTATTTACCAGAGCATGAGCTACTAACTGCTTTGATTGTTTAAATAAAAAATGTATACAAAAGTCCAACGACCTCGATACTTTTTACTTATTTTCGTAGAAACTGGAATTTAATTTTTTTTTTTTTTTTTAACAAAAAAACTTGTACTTAAATTATCTGAAGGTAGTTTTGCTCATATAAATGTAAAAATCATCACATTATTTAACCCTTTATAGTTTCAATACATCAACATAAATTTATAAAAAAAAAAATATTATTTTTTTTTGTCAAAAAAAAAAATCACATTTTTTTTAACTTAAATTTTCACATTAGAAAATGTTTAATTTACAATTAAAAATTATTTACATATTTAATTTAAAAATAAAAAAAATTTTTTTTTTTTAATTAATCACTTATAAAAATCATTTCATTCATACCAAGGGTTAAAAATGTTTTCCATGTAATAGCAATGATGCAAAAGTAGTAATCACTAATTAAGCTTTTTTCGAAGACTGCGTATATATTTTTTATCTTTTTTTTTTTTATTACAAAAGTAAATTTCTGACACAGTCTAGTCAATAATTTAACAATAAAAATCATAAATATTATCAATAATATCAAAGTATAAATATTAATTACTCGTTTTTATAATCCTAAATTTATTATTTAAATATTTTCATATATAATAATATATTAAATACTCAAATTTCAATTGCAATAACACAGAGTCCTTTAAATTGATAAATTTCAATTTTTTACACAATTCAAGTCTCCGTCATCGTAAACTCGCGATCTTTATCTTTATTTAATTGAAATTATTAAAAAAAAACCTCATTATTAACTTACAGCTGCCTTCAATAAAATATTAGTCGGAAATTACCAAGCAAGTGTCTTAATTAGTGCATTACCAAAAATTTAAATCAGACTGGCATGTCTGTTATTTAAATTTAATTTATATTAACTTAAAAAAATTTATAAATATGTATACTTATTATTTTTTTAAACGATTAAATTTCTACTTATTTAATTAATTATAATTAAATTTCATACATATTAATATTACTAATATTAATAATAATATTTACAATATTTATTTACAATTTAAATTTACACTACTAATAATTGTTTATCCAAAATAGTATAAGTTTAAATAATTTCAATTAATAACTATAATTATTATTATTATTATTATTATTATTATTATTATACGAGACAATTATTCAATAATTTAATAGTTTATCTTAAAAATTATCTTACTTACGATAAATCTTTGATAAATAATAAAGAAAACTTAATAAAGTACTGCATAATTTTTTTACCGGAATTTAAATTAAAAGATTATTTTTTTTATTTATTAGTTAATAATTAATTTATAATTAATTAGTATCGAAATTCAGTAGACGCAGCTACTTCATTTGTGCCGGTATTTATTCAAATACTTATACAGCAATTTTGTAAATAATTAAAAATATGGAAGTTACTGATAAGTTAAAAAGTTTAATTATTAAATATTTTCTTACACTACTAATTATTTCAAAGATTTTCAAATAAATTAATACTTTGTTAAATTTTATTTAGGAATTTTTAAAAATAAAATTCTAAGAATAACAATAACCATGGGTTACTTTTTTTTGTTTGTTTAAAAAAATATATACTTTATCAATTATTTATTAAAATTAAATCAACAACAAATTTTATTTTTTTTAAGTACGGATTTTTAGAGTTTTTTGAAAAAATTAGTTAAATTTATTGGAAGATATCAATCTACTTTTTTTTACTAAATTTCTTTCAATTTTTTGTCAATTTTAAATTAAAAAAAAAAAAAACCATTTTTAATTCTTTTCAAAGAACATTTTTTTTTGTTATATATTATTTAAAATAAATAAATATAATTAAGTATAAAAAATCTTCATTTTTTACCATTTAAATTAAAAAAAAAGGCAGTAAATTTTTTATCAATTTTGAATTAAAAAAATAATATGGATCATTTTTAATTCTTTTTAAAGTCAGAATATTTTTTTTGTTATATATTATTTAAAATAAATTTTTGTTAATTTGTTATTATTTAAATAAAAAAAAAAAAAAAAGGCAGTAAATTAATATCTTTCCAACATTTAAAAAAAATGATTCAAAAGATCGAACAATGGGCTCTTATATAATTGATAAAAAATTATAAAGTACAATTATTAACCAGTCTTGTGCGCTGATATTTTATGTAATAAAAAAAGGATAAAAGGTTGAGATATATAAGTTACTTTTTTTTTTTTCTCTACATTTATCAATGATAAATTTTCTCTATTTTAAATAATTTGTTTTTATACTTGATAATTAAACGGACGATATATTATTTGTATCATTAAGTTGAAATGGGATTATAGATAGTGAGATTTATCCTTCGTACTCAGTCAGTCATTAGCGACGTAAACAGAGAGACGATTATTGCTACTTCAATGAGCATGAATTCAGGGTCGTGAATTTAATTAATTAATTAATTAATTAATATGTTTTTTTGCTTTTATACTTTTTAAATTTTTTGTAAGAATATCTATTTGAACGAAGGCACAATTGATAGGTAGCAATTGGTGACGTATACTGTCGTAAAAAAATTAAATCCTCCAATTTACTCAAGAAAAAAAAATATCAAGACATCAAGACAATTATCATGAACCCATTTTCTGTAATTAGTATTATTTAACGAGTATTATAACTAATATAATATATATTTTTATTTGTATATTTTTAAAATTTGAACGAATAATTTAGACCAGGTGAGTTTTTTAACGATTAAAAAATCTAAAGACTTTCTTACATGCATTTAATAAGTTGATTAATTCGGATATTTGGTGTACTCAGCCTTAAGAAAACCGAGTTTGACCTTTATGTCGTGGAACGTTGGTCTCTTCTCCGGTTGTAAATCCCATGCCTTTTTGTTTATTTTACATGAAAACAAAAATACCGGAATTTATAGCCACTTTGTATTCTTACGGACATTACTTATAGTAAAGTGTAGGCTATTTTTTTAAAGCTTTACAACACTAGTGTTTTAGAAAAATTTTATATTTATATATAAGGCATACCTGTTTCATGATGTCGTAAACTTCAGACGGACATCCATCCGGTGGTTCCATTTTATATCCTTTTTCTACACATTTTACAACGTCCGCCAATGGCTGAAATATATTATTTATTTTAGATTTTAATGCTCTCTTATCTTAATTACTATTGCCAATTTTTTAATTACACTTACTATTCTCGGATATGGTACTCTTCCGAAGGAGTAAATTTCCCAGAGTAAAATTCCGAAACTCCACATGTCTGATTTGTTTGAGAATTTCTGTAAAAGATAAAAAAAATGATAATAAATGTTATTATCGTGTAATTATGAAATTAATATATGTTTTTATAAAAAATAAATCTATATGTAATTAAGAAATTACTTTGTATCTCGAGAACTATTGACATTTTTAAAGATATAAGTTCATCCCGATGTTACACTCATCAAGACCTTTCGTTTGAATACCCACATGATTTTTTCATATATTTTATATATTTCATATATTTTTATATATGTATATATGAAAAATATATCAAAAATGCATGTGGGTACTCAAATGAAAAGTCTCGATGAGTGTAACATCAGGATGAGCTTATATCTTTAAAATATATATTATATATATGTATATATGAAAAATATATCAAAATGAATTCATTTTTAAAAAAGTGAAATTAGCAGTGAAAGTAGTGATAATGATTGTAAGAACAATATAATAAATAAAAATATTACATTTTGTTTTAGAGCCTCAGGTGCAGTCCATTTGATAGGTAATTTACCACCGTCAAGTGAAAAGTTTTCGTCACGTGCCAAACCAAAGTCTGATACTTTAGCTGAATTATCTTCAGCAACAAGAACATTTCTTGCTGCTAAATCACGATGTACAACGTGTCGAGATTCAAGATAAGCCATCCCAGCGCACGTATCACTAATAATAAAACAGAAAGAATAACATAGTAGATTGGTTAATCTTGTCAGATAAAGTTTACATCAAAGGGAAAAAAATAAAACAGGAACTAATTAAAAATTTTTTTTAAATTAAGCTGATATAATAATTAAATAAAAAAAAAAAAGACTTACTAGGCAAAATTAATTTGATCTTTTTTGGTAACGTGCAACCGGCCTCTCGACCTGAGATAATCGACGAGTGATCCCTTGCTCATATACTCAGTAACCAGGTACATATGTTGATTGTTAAACACAAGGCCAAGAAGTTTGACCAAATTATCGTGGATAAGTGAAGTCATAAGACTAGCCTCGGCCAAGAATCTTTGCGCAGCTTCACTGTTGTCTTTAAGCATTTTAACGGCGACGCGTTCGCCGCGATAAACGCCCAACAGCACGTCACCGAACTCCCCCTTGCCGATGCACTCGCGTAATTCAAGCTCGTGTGTCTGTATGACCCATCCGGCCTCAACGAAGGCCTTCGGATCGACACAAAAATCTTGTTTGCCTTGCTTCGGCAATGGTTTTGTCAGTTGAGTACACAGACCATCGGCATCCTCCTCGTAATGCTCGACCAGCAGAGCCAGGTTTTCGAAGAACACCTCGTCATCAATTGTCAGCTGGTTGTTTTTGTATTTCACTCGGTAGTGCTGGACTCGTCCCGCGTATGATACACACAGTGTGTAGTCACCGGGGAAGTTTGTCGACTCTCTGACTAGAAACAGACCATCTTCACGGGGTCGCAACAGACTTTCTGCGGTCTCTCGTGAAATTTTTCCATGAAACCATCTGGAATTTTAATCAATAGTTAGTTTAATTGTTCAAATAATATTTTTACTAGAAATTTTTAGATGTAATTTCCAAATAAAAATTTTGAAAATCATAATTAGAGATTCATAATTAAGAAATGACCTTTTATCTTGTGAACTATTGACATTTTTAAAGATATAAGCTCATCCCGATGTTACACTCATCGAGACCTTTCATTTGAGTACCCACATCAATTTTATATATATATATATATATATATATATATTTGAAAAATATATCAAAAATGCATGTGGGTACTCAAATGAAAGCTCTTAATGAGTGTAATATCGGGGTGAGCTTATATCTCTAAAAAGTTTAATATTTAATAAAGTACAGTGCAATTCAATTTTTTTTTTGGTTTTAGTTAAGAGAAATTCGAAAATAACAGAGAAATTTTCTAGAAAGTAATTTTCATAATTTTAAAAATTAGCTCAGTGAGTTTAAATATTTATTTTTTGTTTAATTTTTACGCTTAAAAATTGGAAAAGAAAGTAAATAGTGGAAAAATTAGATAAAAGAAAAAAATAAATTCTATTTTAAAAAACTTAGTCATGAATGATGTCTTCAACTAATGTAAATTAAAATAACAAATGGTATAAACTATGATAGATAAGAATTAGCATTAAAGTAAAATATTTATAAAAGTAAAATGTCAATGATTTAATTTCCTCACTTTCTCAATGATGGAATATTAAAAAAAGGATGTCTTATCTAAAGTATTGAATAAATAATAAATAAATAAATAGAATAACTTACGGCATAGCATTAAGTTTAACTTCGTGTCTCGTGCTGATTGATAAGGCATTATTAGATGTTGGATTGACGGTGGGATTATTGGGTGTAAGGATGACCGGGGAAGGTGAGACAGGATTACTCACATGGGTGGGAGAGGGTACAACAACATTTTGAGTGGTAACAATACTACTGGAGTGTGTTGTTGTCATTATCGGCGACACTGGATGCGGCTGCATGTTCGGGCCGCTGTAATTAGACTGGATCGAAGGAATCGAGTGGTGAATTGATTGGATCGATTGCATCGATTGGAGGGCGTTTTGCAAAAACGAATGAGCTGTTACATTTGAGGGTATTGTGTGGTGATGGTGATTCTGGTTCCCGTCTATTTTACCCTGACGAGCTAGCGCTGATAAGTTTGGGTAACTAGCACCCGCATTGTGATAAGTTGGCATTACTGCTGCTGATTATTTTAATTAGGCCGCGGCTATTGACCTGGAAAATACAGGAAAAGCATTTTGTTAACTATCAGATTCAACATTTTTATAAAAGTAGGCTGAAATAAATATATTAAGTTTTAAAATTAGGTCAAAAATTAAAAAAAAAATAATTTTTTATTTTTTTATCAAAATTATTTCAATTTTTTTTCATGATAAAAATTTTAAAAATGTGTTTTTAAAATTATTTTCTCCATATATAACTTTTTGATCAAGAGTAGTTTTAAAAATCCCCGACAGGTGGCGCATTGTCGCTAAATCTTCTCGCAAACAGAAAGCTAAGTTTAGAATATTAAGTTATAAAATAAAAAAAATTTTTTTCACTCCTTTAAAGAGTTTTTTTTAGCTCAAATAATTACTAAACCAATTATTATTATTACATTTTAATTAACCTACAGTTTTTTAAAAAGAAAATATAATAAATCATTTTTTATTTCGATATATAGTCTAATATGATCATATATCAATAAAGCAGGCTATATATGGCCATTTTTTTACGAGTATCGATGTACAATTACACAGTAAAAAATTTTGCGTTATTGCGTTAAAAAAAACAGTGTTAAAAATTTTTGTATTAGATATTTTAAACTTTTATGAGTAAATTTAACATTTATTCCATTAAATCAACACAAAAAAAGTATTAAATATTAAACATAAAAATTTTTAACACAAAATTTTTCGACGCAAAATTTTTTAGTGTATCAAGAAATTCATAAATAAAAAAAAAAACTCTTAAAAAATCACTGGAGAGACTTAAATAAAATAAACAACTTAACAAACAAGACTCTTCCTTGTTCCAGAATTTCCTCATAAATAAGTGAATTTTTTATTGAGTACAAAGAGATGCATTATAAATAAAAGCCGGTATAGTATTGAAGGTTGATATGATAAGAATTTATGCGTAAAGGCGGTGAGGATATTTAAATAATAAGAGAGCTAGTTTATGCAAGTGAGTGGGTGGGTGATGATCCTTTTCTCGGGTGACAAGACGCTTGCCTGTAAGCTTCTAAGTGGGTGAGTAATAATTCAATGCAGAGACTATATAAGCTTATATATTACTCTATCCACTGTATGAATGCATCACGAATGTCTCATATTACTCTTCTATTTAATCAGCATTATAACTTATGACTATACAATACACATATATTAATATCATATAATATAATTTATAATTTATAATATAAGCGCGTGTTAATCCAAGTACCTATTGTTTCAATGCACCTTAACATGGAGAAAAAATGATATTATATTAAACCGCTGTCAATACTACTTAAAAGATAATAAATAAGATTTATTTTTTGTTAATAGAAAGCTAGATTAAATTTTAAAAGTTTCATTGATAAATTTATGCATTTTTTTTTTATATTTAAATCCGAAATTTTTGTAGAGAAACATGTTTTTATTCAAAATAAAATATACCGTAACACGATGTCGTTGTAAGTTGTAAGTTGTACATATGGTGAGTGACTTTGACCTATTTCGACGGTGATATGTCGTAACCAAAAAATATTTTTTATTTCTTTAGTCGATTAGAATTTTATTCCTAAAATTCCAGATTTTTATCAACTTGGAAAATAATAAATAAAAATAAATTGTTAAAGGTATAATATAATAGACCGACAAAGTCTCCCGCCTATTTTAAGAGGGACCAGCCCATTTCCGTATTTTATAAGAAATTTTATATAATAGAGTTTATTGGTATTAATATGATAAAATGGAAAAGTAAGCCTGGTTTATATTCTATTGACAGAATGAATATTTTATTATTATTTTAAGAAAAAAAACCCGTGAAAAAATTTTCTGATGTCATAGATGGTGGATTCTTATGTATAGCCTGATCTGGTTATATATATGGCCATATCAAGCTATTTGGCTGCCCAATTTCAAAACACAGTATTTGACAATTTTAAGAATTTTTCTTATTAAAAAAAAGTTTGCGCGCCAAATTGATAAAAAATTTGATTTATAAAAAGAAAATACTTGAATATAAATATTTTTAAGAAAAATTACTTGAAATAAAAATTTAAAGGTTATAAGAAATGCAGCAATACTAAAAAATCATAATTTCATATTTCGACGTTCTAATTAGCAAATTGTCTAATAGTCCACTGACTTTACTCTTACCCGTTGCTCAATGTAATTTTTTAGGCTATATCTTACTATCAATTAAATGCAAATTCTCCATTTGTAGGAAGAAAGAATTAGTTTAAAATTTATTATCATTTTATAAAACCATTTTATATCTATGCTACATAAAAATATAAAAAAATCACTTCCTACTAAATAAAGAGTTAGACCAATTGCTAATTAGACCGTCGATTTTTTTCTTTTTAAAATATTAATATTTAATTTACAATTCTGCGGAGTCAAAGAACTCGAAAAAACTTAAAAATTCAGCTTATATTCCCGAAAACCGGGCGTTGATTTACAATAACTATTCCGGAAGTGGGAGCGGCCATGGGTTTAATAAATACTTAATTTAAATACTAATTAAAAAATTATAAAATAAAAAGTAATTATCAGCCACCGTTTTACACACGAATTAATTAAAAATCTTTCGTAATTTATTTTTTTCAACATATACCAAATAATAATAACAGTTAAAAAAGTACTTTTGAGATAATGCACACACTTGAGATAAGGCTAAGGCAGGTGGTCTTGACGGCTTTAGATTTGATGCGTTTGTATATTACATTAGATTACTTAATCTTGACACAATGTATTAGCTACTGTTTATTCATTGTTATCGTTATCGATAATTAGAGAATACTATCCATGTCCGGAGGAAACAGACAGATTACTAATAATAAACCAGTGGCAATTAGTAGAACATCACAAATGCCGACAAAGAAAATTTATCTCTCAAAATAGCAAAAAATAATAATTTAAAAAATTCAACCAATTCTAAAAAATATTTGTAAAATTCTTTGCTTTATTTTTTTTTATTAGAAAAAAATTGATGGAGATTTTTCTATCAATTATTGAATTTTTTCACATTCAAAAAAATTATGAATGATTATTTTTCAATAAAATAAATCTTATTCTACCACAAGTTGCAAAAAAAAAAATGTTATTTATTTAAAAAATTCTTTAAAACGTCAGAATAAATGTAAAATATTTTTTTACATCAATAAATATTTATTAATTTTAAAGCAATGAAATAAAATAAATATTGGCTGTGGAAATAATATTTTTATTGATACGACAACTGAAATAATAATTAATTATTAAATACCAATTGAAATCTAAAACAAAATGGATAATATATCAACAAATCTGTTAAGAGAAATTAATATTGAATAATTCAAATGTAGTTTATCCTTGGCTGTCGTTTATGACAATAAAGTGCAATATTTTATACAAGCACACGCGCGACTGATTATATTATCATTATCATGAATATATTATTTACGTAATGGAATTTAAAGCGCTACATAGCTAGACTTTAAATTTGGTAAATTAAAAATATAACTGTCTATTTTTAGGACTTAGGAATGAGACGCGTGTATTATATTAAAGCCATGCAAAGGTTTAAAATATTTACGACTTTGGTAAGATACTTTACCAAAGTTTTGACACTAAAGAATAATATAAAAAAAGAGAGGATGGAGAAGAAGAAGAAGAATAATAAACCACAAAAACACGTGTCAACAGCACTTATGGTGTATAAATTATTCAATGGCTCACACAATAGTATCCGTAACTTTTGAATGATTTACGATTGCAACTGTAAATTTAAAGTTTGCTTCATTCGTATGCTGATAAAGGAAATCGAATTATTTATTACTTTGGCACTGTCGACAAAATACCAAAGAGTTAAGACTTGTTTGTTGAAAAATTTTATAGTAAATTGGATTAGAATAAAATTTTTAATTAAAAAAAAAAATTATTCAATTCGTATTAATTATTAAAGAGTAAAATCGCATTCCAATGTTGTGATAATATCTTATGTACAAAAATAATAACTATGCATAAACTTTCATCAAATTGCATCGACTGCATTTGAATACTTATTATAATTTTCCATCACTGTGTAAATATACATAATACATATTTATATTTGAGAATAATAATATAATCGAGCTTTAATTAATATATAAGCAACCTTGCAGTCACTATGTAACTGCCGTGACTTGTGAACTATAAATAAATAAAATTTTGCTTTATTAAATAGTGACTTGATAAATTGCAGTGTACTTTCTTAAATATTGACGTTTTTAAAAATATAAGCTCATCCTGATGTAAAACTCATCGAGAGCTTTCATTTGAATACCCACATGCATTTTTGATATATTTTTCATATATACATATATACATATATATAATATATAATATATATAAAAATATGAAAAATTGATGTAGGTACTCAAATGAAAGGTCTTGATGAGTGTAACATCGGGATGAGCTTATATCTTTAAAAATGTCAATAGTTCACAAGATACAAGGTCATTTCTTAACTATTGACATTTTTAAAGATATAAACTCATTTCGATCTTGCACTCATCAAGAGCTTTTATTTGAGTACCAACATGCATTTTTGATATATTTTTCATATATAAATATATATCAAATATATAAATATATGAAAAATTGATGTGGGTATTCAAATGAAAGGTCTTGATGAGTGTAATATCGGGATGAGCTTATATCTTCAAAAATGTCAATAGTTCACGAAATACAAGGTCATTTCTTAATTATGTATCTAGAGATATAGCATTTTCAAATGCAGCCCAAATATTTATCATAATAAATTGAATGTTTGTTAAAATTTTGCTCATTCTCGTAATAATATAGATTATTATATGAACAAACTCGCAATTTAGTTAAACTCAATTCAAATGATATCAACATTTGATAATCAAGGTTAAAATGAAACTCATGGTCATAATTGAATGCATTTGAATCCAAATAAAATTACGCCTTGTTCTTTAATATTAAAAAATTACAGAAGCTAT